GGCACATATGTGCCGGTCGTTCCTGACTTTAGGGGGCGGTGCTCATTTCTGTTTCAAAGCCGAAGAGCCAGCGCTGTCCGAAGACGCCTTTGTGGTCATGTGGCCGGCATGACTCAACGCCGAAGGCGCATGGAACGCTGTTCCCTTCCCACCAAAGGTGGTTCCTATTTTTCTACTTGCATTTTTATGTGCTTTCGAACTGCTAGGTTGGCAGAAGCTGGGACAAGTCACGGGAGCTCACTCCGTTATGCGGCGCTGGGGATTCGAACTGCCGAACTGCCAACCTTTCTGATCGACAAGTTCGGCATCTTAGCCACCGAGTTGAGATACTGACAAATATATAAACTGCCGTTTTACCTGTAGTAGAGGGGGCCAGGGATGGAACAGGGTCCCACACCTGGTATACATGGTGGCAAGCGACGTTGTCCCTCTTAGAGGCCATTTCTTGGATCTCTTGCTCGACAATCCCACGGATGATGTTCAATTTCCTCCCGAACCTGATAGTCAGCAGAAAGAATGCATTGTGTGAGTAGTAATATATTTAGAAATGGTCAAATCAGTGAGACGTCTTTTCAAAACATGCTCCTTCTCCCCTGAAAGCACGTGATACTTGAAATGGGCTATAGGAAGTCCTCGGCTTATGACAGTTCATGTAGTGATTGTTAAAAGTTAACTCAAGATTTAAACCATAACAGTTCTTCAAGCCTTCACAGACCCCCCGTGATGACATCGTGGCCCCCCCCCACCAGGGTTCTATGTACTGCAAGTTGAGGGACACTGTCTTAGATAAATATAATGATACAGAGTCAAATGAAGGGAGAGAGAGAGAGTGAGCGAGAGAGAGAAAATAAAAGGAAACTGCTTTTAATCCTTCTCAATCACTTGTTGGGATTAGAAGGGAGTTGTCCATGGTTGAACTCATGCTGCTTAAGTCGCCCCGATGTAAAAAAAGGGGTTGAGACTCTTAGAAAAAGTGCATTCTATTTTTGTAAAATTTTGTAAAAATTCTATTCCATTCCATATTTTCTCGTCTCTTCTCTTCTCCTCTCTTTCTATTCTCTATTCCATTCCATATTTTCTATTCTATTCTATTCTATTCTATTCTTACTCCTATTCTATTCCATTCCATATTTTCTCCTCTCTTCTTCTCTCTTCCTATTCTCTATTCTAGTCCATATTTTCTATTCTATTCTATTCTATTCTATTCTATTCTATTCTTACTCTATTCTTTTCCAT